TATCTGTGATTTAAAATTTGTTCAAACTAGAGGAGGTAAGAAGTACTTTACTTCTTTTATTGATGATTACACTCGATATTACTATGTTTACTTATTGAGAAATAAAGATGAAGCCTTAGAAGCTTTTAAGCAATATAAACTTGAGGTTGAAAATCAACTTGGCAAAACTATTAAGATAGTGAGAAGTGACAGAGGTGGCGAGTATGATGCACCATTTGAGAAATTTTGTTCTGAACATGGTATTATTCACCAAACCACTACACCCTATTCTCCTCAGTCAAATGGAGTTGCTGAGAAAAAGAATCAAACTCTGAAAAAGATGATGAATGCCATGTTGATTATTCAGGGTTACCTTAGAACTTGTGAGGGGAGGCAATTTTGTCTGCTAACTTTATCCTTAACAGGATACCCCACAAGAAACTAAGTCAAACACCTTATGAATTATGGAAAGGTCGACGACCTACCTACAATTACCTCAAAGTGTGGGGGTGTTTGGCCAAGGCGGCAATCCTTAGTCCCAAAACGACTAAGATAGGACCAAAAATCGTTGATTGTGTGTTCATTGATTATGCACATAATAGTAGTGCATATAGATTTTTAGTTCATAGATCTGAAAATCCTGATATGCATGTAAACACTATTATTGAATCAAGGAATGCATCGTTTTTTGAACACATTTTTCCATGCAGGAAAACGGTAGAGAAAAGTTCAAATAAAAGAATTTTTGATACTGCTATAGGTAGTAGTGAAGACCATAATGATAATATAGCAAATGAACCTAGACATAGCAAGAGGGCTAGGATCTCTAAATCATTTGGTCCAGATTTTCTGACATACCTGTTAGAAAATGAGCCTTAAAACTTCAAAGAAGCAATGTCAAGTCTTGAAGCTCCATTGTGGAGAGAGATTGTGAATAGTAAAATTGAATCAATACTGCAAAATCATACTTGGGAACTGGTGGATCTTCCACCAAGGTGTAAACCGCTTGGATATAAGTGGATAGGGATGTCTGTGGTTCGGTTTGGGACGGTTTGCATTTCGGTTTGGACCCACCTACATCTATGCAGTTTGGGAAAAAGTCAACTTGCAATCGCCCACGGTGTGGTTTGTGATTTGTACAGATAGGTGTAGCCCGACTTTTCATGCGCCTTTCGAAGACGCCTAACCCTATAGTCCGGACTCCCATGGTTCTGAATTTGATTCCACAAGTGCAATGTGAAATAGAAAACACAAAAGAGTCTAAATCCGGCAAATCTTTTGGAAAATCGATTTTGAATCAAAATGCCAAATATGGACTAGTTTGCCAAATACAGAGTCACCACCTAAATGTTTTTGAGAAATTTAGGAAACCCATTGTCACGACCCCAAACCGCCCCTAGTAGTTTGGTGCCGTGATGGCCAGTAATCCGAGATTACCGAAGGCCAACTTACAAAATTCACACACAATCAGAGTATAGATATAGGGGCTCACAAATGCGGAAGCAATAATCTAAAATACAAATGGTACATAAGAGCAGTGCATAAGTCAAATGAAATGGCATACATCTTTACATAGCTTTACAACTTGAATGCATATAGAAATGAAGTACAAAAATACATATTACATCTTGGCAAGAGGCTTCTCAAGCCGACATGTTCGAAATACATAAGCATCAAAATTGCCGACATAAACATAATACATGAAATACAAATCAAAAATATAAAATCTTCAGGATTGCCGACATCCTCAAAGCCGACATAACATGCATACAAAACACACATCTCGGCGTAGCCGACTTCTTCCTTGTTACCTACATATATACATAGGGAGGGTGAGTTTGGGTACTCAGTGAATGGTATAAGTAATAAAGGGGTTAGATGAATGATTCCCGAGGTCTTTCAAAACAATACATAATATATCTTTGTCAAAACCATACTTATCATAGCTTGTACAAAACATGAGATAAATCTTGTTCATCAAACTTGATCTTACAAAACTTACATACTTAACATGCGTCAAATCTTAAAACATGGGGTGATGACATTCCGGGCAAAACAAAGCATAACCTCGGCATCGAGCACACCCGTTCATAGACCGTCGACGCCTGATATCTTAACAAGGGTGCTACTTAGGCTTAACGTCCCCTAGCACGAAAAGACGGTGCTACCTAGGCTTAAAGTCCTCTAGCACAGAAGGACTATGTTACATAGGCTTAACGTCCTCTAACACGAAAGGACTATGCTACATAGGCTTAAAGTCCCTTAGCACGGAAGGACTATGTTGCATAGGCTTAACGTCCCCTAACACGAAAGGACGGTGTTACTTAGGCTTAACGTCCCCTAACACGAAAGGACGGTTCCAAGAATGTCATTCAAAACAAAGCTTATACTTGATACATAAAATAGGGATATCATTCATGCTTAACAAATACTTTTATCAAAACAAGGTAGAGCTTTATCAAAACATTACAACATAACTTTATTAGAAATACCACTCACTTAGTTCTTGGGACGTCGGGGTCAAGGCAAATGTCTAAGTCCTACAACACATGGCAAGGCATACTAAACATACTTCTCAAAACAAGTCTTACATGCATGCAAATGATCTCGGGAAAACATGCTGGAAGTCAAAACACTATTTTACATGTTAGGAAGACATGCTGGGTACCAACCAGGTCTTTGCTGAGGTCCCACACCTCCTGGCTGAGGTGTGGCTACCTAGGCTTCGGCATGCGGCTGCATGCCGAGGTGCGTACAAGACAAACTAAAGGTGTAAGTGATCATGCAAGGTGGGCCAATGTGAGATATGATGCTTGGCCTAAGTGTGGGGTCTAGGTGAGAGTGATCTCAACGACTACACCTCGGAAAGTGAGGTCTGGAGATCTGGGTTTCCACCCGTGAAGAACAGGAAGAACATGAACATGAAGATCATGAAGAACATGAATGCCTTAACGTCCCCTAGCACGAAAGGACTATGCTACATAGGCTTAAAGTCCCCTAGCACGGAAGGACTATGTTACATAGGCTTAACGTTCCCTAACACGAAAGGACGGTGTTACTTAGGCTTAACGTCCCCTAACACGAAAGAACGGTTCCAAGAGTGTCATCCAAAACAAAGCTTATACTTGATACATAAAATAGGGATATCATTCATGCTTAACAAATACTTTTATCAAAACAAGGTAGAGCTTTATCAAAACATTACAACATAACTTTATTAGAAATACCACTCACTTAGTTCTTGGGACGTCGAGGTCGAGGCAAATGTCTAAGTCCTACAACACATGGCAAGGCATACTGAACATACTTCTCAAAGCAAGTCTTACATGCATGCAAATGATCTCGGGAAAATATGCTGGAAGTCAAAACACTGTTTTACATGTTAGGAAGACATGCTGGGTACCAACCAGGTCTTTGCTGAGGTCCCACACCTCTTGGCCGAGGTGTGGCTACCTAGGCTTCGGCATGCGGCTGCATGCCGAGGTGCGTACAAGATAAACTAAAGGTGTAAGTGATCATGCAAGGTGGGCCAAGGTGAGATATGATGCTTGCCTAAGTGTGGGGTCTAGGTGAGAGTGATCTCAGCGACTACACCTCGGAAAGTGAGGTCTGGAGATCTGGGTTTCCACCCGTGAAGAACAGGAAGACTAGGTGAGAGTGATCTCGACGACTACACCTCGGAAAGTGAGGTCTGGAGATTTGGGTTTCCACCCGTGAAGAACAGGAAGAACATGAACATGAAGATCATGAAGAACATGGATGTTAAAATCATAACTTCTTTATAACAAAAATCTGGGATTTCATGCTATGAGTTCGAAAACATGGACCTGGGTACCCATACTTGAAAATCATGTGAAAACAAACACAAAAACACAGATCTTGACATGAGCTTTCGGATCAAAACATAACTTTCCTTGAAGAACACATGAATGTTACTTTCTCTTTCTAAAACCGAACTTCAAAGCAATGCATGGCTTACAAATCATGTTCAATCATGCAATGCAATAACATAAACATAAAGAACGACAAGAGCAGATCAAGAATCTAACCTTAGAACACGGATCTAACGGTTCAATCTCTAGGAATCAAGCTCAGAAATCCACTCTCTCTCTCAAGAACTCTTCTTCCTCTCCTAGAGCTTCTCTCTTCTCTTCAAAACAAGTATACAACAAAATAATGGGTTCTCTCTCTCTATCGGCTGACTTAACTCTCAGCTCGGACATGTGGCAATGGCTGGTTGGTTCTCTTCAAAAAGGTGATAGATTGACAAGACAAGACTATGACAAAGCGTATCTAACAAGCTACTCGGTATGGCACTTCGGCAAGTGGTGACATCGGCTAAGGACAAGGCTTCGGCAACTAAGGTGACAATGACCTCGGCTAGGAAGGACAACACTTGACTACGCTGTGCCACACCTTGGCCTAGATGTGCCACACCTCGGTCTAGGTCATGCCACTCCAGGACAAGATCGCTCAGGTGCAAAGGTAACATCTCGGCCTAGATGATACATATCTCGGTCTTGGTGATTGACACCTCGGCCTAGATAATGACATCTCGGCCAATATGCCAGGGCAAAGGTGGAGGTCAAACAAAGGGGTTCCAAGATACTTCTAGACTGAAGATGACCTCGGCTTGGAATGATCTAGGCTTAACATAACCTAGGCTTGGCACGACTTCGGCTAAACATAACTTAGGCTTGAGGTACCAAGGAAGGAAACGAGCATGCACACAACACTTAGACAAATCACATAACCACAAAACAAGGCATGGACCTTACTTAGGCAAAACAAGTCATAAACATACAGATGTAAGCTCAACGAGTCATAATCATACAAATGCTCATGAACATGACTAAGGCATAAATATGGGCTGTGACAGTAACTTAACACGGCAAAACATATAATGCAAGCAACATAACTGGGACATGAAATGTGGGTTGTTACATCCTTCCCCCCTTAAAGAAGTTTGGTCCCCAAACTTCGCTTACCGTGTTCCCAAAACGACTCCCGATGTCGAGTTCCTATCTCTTCTTATCATCCTTAGCTTTTACCTTGGGACAATCCTTAATACGATGACCTATCTCACCACATCCGAAACATGCTCCGGTTGTCCGATGACAAGCTCCTAAATGTCGCTTCCCGCAACTTGCACATGTCGGCCAGGTGCCACCTTCCTGATTCACGTTGTTGGGACTATCCTCCTTTGTCTTCTCTTCGGCGTCATTCAGGTCTGCCTCTTCTTCGCGATTGTCATAGGTATGCCTCTTCCTCTGATTCTTCCCCAAACTTTGACTTCTGTTCAGGTTGGTTTCTGCAAGGATGGCTTTATCTAACACTCCAGCATACGTCAGCATGTTGAGCAAATTAACCTGGTCTTGTATTGGCCCTCGAAGTCCACTCTCAAACTTCCTAGCTTTTCTGTACTCATTGTTGACCATGTGAGGTGCATATCTTGCCAACTCGGTGAAAGCACGATCATACTCTGCCACTGTTTTGCTACCTTGTGTCAACATCTGAAATTCCGTAGTCTTGCGATCTCGGACACTGAGTGGGAAATGCTTGTCATAGAACAGCTCCAAAAATCTGGCCCAAGTCAAGTCTAGGTTACCTTCTCGGATCATCATCCACCATCTACGAGCGTCGTCTTCCAATGTGAATGCTGCTAATGACACCTTCTGAGCGTCAGTACTGGGAAAAACCTCGAACAACTTCTCCATTTCCAGAACCCATGCTTCTGCTTTCGTCGGCTCTATACCTCCATGGAACTTCGGCGGCTTCATCTGTTTGAATTCTTTGATCAAAGTCATGGTGCCATCCCCATATAAAGCTGGTCGTGGAAGCACTTGTGGCACTGGCGGCGGTGGAGCTGCATGTCGGCCATCTGTCTGTTCGGCCTGGGCAGAGGTGGTACCGGTGTTCTGCTGCCTTGCTTGCCTCAACTCATCGGCCAAACTTTCAAC